TTAAAGTAATGAACGCTTTTAGAATTTCGTAATTAATCATTCTGATTAAAATTTTTCGTTCCAGTCGCCTGAGCTCATCGACTTGACATGAAAATGCCATTATGGTAAGTATTATATATTATAAACAGAATAATATAAAATTGTATTTAAGGATAAATCGTTAGACAATGGATACTATTTTATTGCATGGTTAAGTTTTATATAATTATTATTATTTGTACTCCGTTGACTTCTGTTTATTGTGGATTATAACCACATGTAAAAAAACCTATTACATCGCACGAACTTGTATTTACGATGGTTACAAAACTTTCAACGTGAACGCAAATTTCCAATTTCATCTTGTAAGGATTTTTCCGATTACCAGCAATAAAACTCCGGATTCCACTAATACTCATTATGGGCATCAGAGCTGGGGACCGTAAAAGCCAGGAACTTAATTAACGTGCCTCGGCTTTTACTCAACATTTATTTGGGCGTGAATTTGATATCGGTTGTAAAAATAAACAATGAAAACCACCAGGTGAATTCCCGAAGCATTCACGCGCATGAGAGTATGTGGAATAGAATGGAAATATTAAATTTCATCTAAACTTCAACATTCAAAATTCAACGGTATCTTACATACAACTACAACATGGAAGAAAAAAATAAAAAAAATCATATTAAAAAAAACGACATGTATTTGTGTGATATATAAATAACATTACATCTATCAATAAGCCTTACAATTAATAATAATGGAACTTTTAACAAACGCACTTATTGTATGTCAGGTCAGTTCAAAAATATCTTTTATAGAGTTGCAGATGATATGTTACATTTCATTTACAAACGGATGATGATGGCCGCAAAAGTGACAGTCGTTTCAATTAAACTACGCGGGTGGGACTCAAAAATAAAATAAATTTATGATTAACCTTCCGCTTGGCATATTGTGTACGTTAATATTATAGCAGACCTCTTTGTTGATATTTTTATTTATTTACTTTTCATTCCTATTGAATATTACAGTCAACTTGAAAACTTAATGACGAAGATATTGTTTTAATTTAAAAGATATCCTAAAATCGAATACCGTCGTTAAAGATGTAATAATTATTTATAATTAAAGTAGTATTTACCAACTGCGTTACAAATTATATATTAGAACAACCTTGGTTACGTAACAAAACTTTTCTTACTTAGGTCTTAAAATGTGAATTGAAATCAAATAGCCCATTCAACCACATAGTGTAAATCGGGAATAGGGTAGCGGTGGGACCCTCACGCGTCCAGACACAAGCAAATTGGATTACGTACGTTGAAAGGAGTAAATGCTGCCGTCAAACAAATTGCTCGTGTCAGGTTAATGGGCAAACAGTGGAACAAATAAAAAACTCGCTGTGTTCTCTTGTGTCATTTGAAATGCCGTGCACTATCTAAAATTATGAATAAATATTGATAAGGTTTTTGCGTTTAAAATATTAAATAATCTTTCAGAAACGATTCCACCATTGAACCGAGATTATCTAAAATTATCACTAGTTTTGAAATATTCTATTAGAATATTCTATTGTCATTAAAAGACTATGTAAAGGGGTTAGACAGGAAAAACTAGGGTAGTATAAATAGCATGTTTATCTTTGGAAACATGGAAGGCGGAAAGGTGTCTTTGTCAGTGTTCCGCGTTGTCACCGCAAAAAGCTTACGATTTTTTTTGTTAAGATTCAATTTAATGGTAGTACTATGAATATATTTTAACTACAATGTACAAAGTCTCTTAAATATTTTAGTAATAAAACACTTCTACATAGTCCAGCTATTATCTATTGTTACTAATTATATAATAGCGTCCGTAATAAAATCACAACACAATCTGACAATCTAGAATATATTTGTATTAATTTTTGTGAAGATAATAGATGAATATCGTAGCATCATTAATTTAGAACATATTTTTAATTCGTCAAATTTTATAATATTTTAGTATCCCCAAACTAAACTAAAACTATAATTCCATCATATAGTTTGCTTCACACAAAAGCTGTTATAGCCATTATTAGCTCATTTATAGCATCCTTTATCGCAAACGGCTATGTAAACGATTTAGCCTGCAACAGTAAATAACTTTGAGGATAATGAGTGTACCGAGAAAACATAACACTACTATCGAAGCGACTCATTATTTTCACGGCTTCAATTTTGCTTAAAGGTAAGCTATTCCATTTAAAAATTAAGTCATTCAGATTTTGCGATGCTAATAAATTTTGTATTTAACAAACAATTTATATTCAGTAACTACATTGTATATCACGATCTGGTAATTAAGTCTTGGTTGTATCATTGAATCATTGAATAAATCAATATAATATTTTCTGTTTCATATTTATCGGCGTTTAAGCTCTAAGGTTAAAAACAATGTCTGGTAGAACTTAGGTTACTATTTACATTGTATATTTTCTACAAAAAATTACTAGAGTAATTAAAAAAACTTTATATTGTTTATGGTTTTATATCATTTATTTTACTTGTGGTTTCGTCTATGTTAAATACATTCTACAAGGATAAAACGGTAGTGTGAAAATAGTAATGGTTCATGAGAAAATGTCTTTCATGTCAAAAGTATTGCTTGAAAGAAAACAAATAATACTCTTATTCATTTATTTCAATTATAAATTTCCTTTTGCTTTGAGAAAACTTAATTATTGTTTAGTACTTTTCTAAAGTTTCAAAATGTTGAAGGACAAGGATGCATTTGAATCGGTTATCAACCGAGAACTAATTTTAGGGATAATGTATTTACTCCTTATAAAAGAATATTCTCTAGTGTTAATTTTAATTTCACAAAATTAATGTAACATATTTGCAAACCAGGGCTAATTGAAAATAAAATATAAATCTTTGAAACAATTAAGCTGAGATTATGGACTGCTTATAAAGGGTTACCTTAAATACCCATGTCTAACCCTTATGTTCAAATTGGCTCCGTTTGCAACCCGTAAATTAAGGTAAAAAATTCACAGAAACCATTACTAACGATTCAAAATGAAGCCTTTGCATAAAAACTTTAATCTCCATTAAAATGTCTACGTAATCCCCTCGCATATGTATACTTACGTACATCAGACCTTTCCTTGGGAAAATTTAAAAATTCACTCAAGCTACCCTGAGCCGTATAGGGTGAATATAAAAACGAAAATATTTTGCATGAATAAGAGTCCGCGATATACCACAACTTTGGGCTTCCGTAGCCACAGACGAAAATCTAACACCTTCATTTTACACCAAATCCCTTTTAATTTCAGAAACGGCACGTTCCTTTTATACCCCATGTTAATTTTATAATGCAAATTAATATTATGTTAGTGAATATCGTTAGGGTTTTCATTAGCCCAAGGCACGGTAGTTTTTCGCTTTAGTGTGATAGACGCCCCATAATAGAAGGCATGCTTAGATTGTAGTATATAATAACATCTGAAACAAGATTTGGTCTAACCATTTCGTTGCTGTATTTTTGTAGAAACAGTTTTTTTATTTAATAATGTTGCTGTGACTATAGCAGTAACATAAATATATAAATGCTTAGATCGCCTGATGAAAACGGCAGGCCGTATTTAATTATATGTATTTAGAAAGTGTAGTTTCTTGAATAATTTATAATACTTCCATAGATCCATATTAAACACACTTACCATTACTATCCACCAATAAAAATTATTGGGGAGACGTTTTCACTTATGTACATTATTCTTTTGTTTTATAACGATTTTTACTCTACTACTACTCTACTAATATTTTGGAAACCTTATTATGTAACTTATTCAAATATCTTATTATTTTAACCAAAAATATTTTAATATTAAAAAAAAGAGGATAATAATAAAAGCACATACCATTAAAACAATTTTATTAAAAACCAACGTACTTATCAAGTACAATAAATGTTACTAACATAAAAATTTTAATGTACCAAATATGACAATCTATGACATATGATAGCAATGCTCATTTTGTCAAATGTTTAAAGTTTCAATACAACAAAATGTTTTCATTATCCATTGTCCTCTGCAAGCCTGCCTTATCACAGTATATAAAACTATTTATAATATTTTAAATATGCAAAAATTTAAACAACGAAATATAACATGTCACTTGGTTCGCATTCGTTACGATATTGACGATAAATATGTATGTATCTATTGAATAAATTTTATAATATTTTTAAATTAAATATCAACAAACAATGAACTACCGAAAATGGCAGTAGTTACTTAAATTCTAATATTTAACAGGAATATATTTACATCCAAATAATATAATCATCTATCTATACAGGGTTTTTTAATAGAAAAATCTTTAAAAGCCAACTATTTACAAAACGACTAATTTTCATTATGGCTGTCCATAAATAAAACACGGTTTCCAACTAACAATTCACGATGTTATTTTGGCAGTTTACAATGGCGTTCGACCATAAACCAGCTAGGATTATAAAATATTGGTATTGGTGGACAATCAAAGCGCTACATTTCACTGTTAGAAATTATTGTTCGATTTTGTATGATTTATGGCATTGCAATGGTTTATTATGACTGACGTGTTGATAGCAAAATTACAAGTATGGAAATTGTATTCCGTTTTAAATGAAAGAAAATACTTAAATTAAAACGATATATTTAGTAATTTGTTATTTAGAAAAGTCACTGGCGTACAGTTTATAAAAATTGTATAGACCTGAATTCATTTTAAATATAGGTCTACCAATTAGCTTAAAATATAATCACCTATTATAGTCTCGTCCGTCGTTCGAAGTTATAACTGTAACTTCAACTACAATGTCAGACTTAAAAGGATTACTGAGACTTAACCAATATTTTCTGTTTTATTTACATAGTTGGAAACCGTTAAAAATAACGTCATATTGTCGTTATGCTCCACATGTATTAATTATTTTAGAAATGTCTGTTTCTACACACAATTATGTACAGTCTTCACAATTTCTTTATTAAATGCAAAATCTATAAGTTTAGAGTTTCGTTTCGTTTTTCGATGTCTTTGAGGAAATGTATTTTGTCGGATACCCGATATCTGTCAAAGGAAAACAGGGTTATTTATGACGGTATTAAGTAAATGGCAACATTTGTACAGCGTTCATTCTACTTATACGTAATATGTACTTATTGAAAATTGAAATCGAATTTAATGGAAAACATACAGCTGTAATAATAAAAGGTAATATCGTTGACATGATCATTACGTTTTAATGTTACTTAAATTAGTGTTATATAATAGGGTTGCCGACAGGTGCTTTTCTAGTTAGCAACACTTACTTGGAACGTTTTTTTCTTCTTACTGTGTTAAGCGGAGTAGTTTCAATGCAGAGCACGATTAGTCGCGTGCTGCACGGGTACCTACAAAACGTTGGTTTCATTTACATTACATATGCTATGAGGAAAATTGCAATCTTAATAAGTGCTACACTTAAATAACTATGTTCATTATCTCTACAATATATATTTCTGAGTCCATAATAATTACAATAAAAAATATATATTATAATGAACGTATTTCAGAAATAAAAAAAATCCGACATAGTAACAGGCGAAGAATTAAACAAAAGGCCTTTAATTAAAATATGTTGCTTTTCATAAAATAAATATCGTGTGAACGGTAGCGGGTATTTCATTTAAAATGTTCATAATATTGAATCAAACATACTTTATGCAAATTATTTAAAATTTAATATGTGTTAAATTTTCTCTTTGGAAGGCTTAAAATATTATAGAATTGAAGTCTTTCTAGAGTTACTATATTTGATTCTTATTATTATGATGTGATTTATTATTATTTTAGTCTATAGCTAAAGTATTTAAAAAGGCTTATAAAGGCCTTTATTCGACAGACTTACGTTTCTTGATCTAAAAGCTTGTTAGAGCGTAATGAAGAGGCCAATCCGAATTTCGTCGGGCTACTGCTATGCCATGCGTCACAATACGCATCCATTGCCGGTTCACCGTTTGGTGTGGCCCCATGCCAAACAGCTTTTGTTGGCCTAAACAAGTTTATTTATATATTTTTGTTGCTGATCATAAACCCGTCCTAATTACAAAATATTCAACATACACACATACTCTATCTATTACAGGGAAAGTTATTTAAAACTGAAATAATATTCTTAATGTTAAACAATTATTGATATTAAAACAATTATAATATAATAACTGAGCTGCAAAATAATTTCAAAACATAAGATTCAATAATATCTAAGATTTTTACCAGTACATACTTAAATAAAAGTATTGTTTTCAGATATACAACGCAATTTCCTATAATCCAAGAAAGCAAATATCATCTTGTCTGCCCGTGGCCACGTTTTCAGTAATCGAAACGTTAGGTAAATTGTAATACATAACAAACATACTATATCCAAAAACCATTGTTTTATTAATGTTTAAGCACTGTAAGATTTCAATTAAACTGCTTTCAACAATTAGACAAGATTTATTTTACAATGTTCAAAAGAATTATTATCAAAAAATTCAAATAACTTCTAGTTAAATACTTATTAGCGTGCCAATAAATATTCAGTTGGTCTTATGAATATTTAAATAAAAACATACTCTCTAAATAATTCGAGCCATATTTCTTCTTTTTTATTAAGTTCTTAGCTTTTTTTTTGTTAAGAGCTTACTTTTTGAATAACATTGCAAATGGAATACCAAATAAGAACAAAAAAATTATGTAAACTCCCTCCTATTAGGTAAAGTGAAAAAACTTGCAAATTGGAAATATAACTCACCAACTGGGATCCATCATTACGTTTTTTCCATTGAAGCTGTATAATTTAGGAGCGTGTGCGAATAGAGCTCCAGAACCATCCAACATTTCACCCCACGAATTGAACAGAATGTCCCCTCGGATATTCACTACTGGTATTTCACGGTCCACCCAATTCACTATGGATTCTATGTTTTGTACCCTGAGAGAAATTCAATGAGTGATATATTTAAGCCACTAATGGATATAGGTTTAAGCATCGAAGTTATATCACCGCTGTTCGTCTATTATTAGAACCAAACAAAAGCTCTAAAGTAAAAATTCCGTTTGACCTAGATAATATTATCATATAAATTTTATAGCTAACTTACTCTTCCTATTCTGGATATAAATAATAAATTTTTTATGACTGCTGTACGTAAAACCGCAGGTAAAACTTTTAGTTCTAAATAACTCTATATATTTTATGATTTATATAAATAAACATTATAGTTGCTATATATTTACGTTTATAGTATAGAGAGATAGGGTACCTTGAAGTAATAAAGGCTCTGAAAGTTCCATCTAAGCCGGATCTCTCAGCTTGTCTGTGACATTCGTAGTTGGTGCTGCTGACTCCGTGCATATCGCCTGTGTGAGGCTCATTAAGTGTTGCCAGACGAAGCTAGCGAGAAACAAATATTTGTTCAGAAAATGTAAAGAGTTTTTATATTTTAGATACCAGGCGTATTTTATTACTGTTTAGAATTATAATAACGGTATGTAATAGTCTTTTGTTCAAGTTAAACTTAATTTGACTCAGATACTTATGAAAAACTAAAAAGACGTATGATATGTATATATGTATTTTTTTTTGCTATATACATAATAAGTTCGAAATTTATTTTCTTACCGCTGGTCCTCCTGTTGCCGAGTTTTTATGATGTACCAAACTAGATGTTTCTAATATATTTTGAACTGGAGTAAGCGTAACGCCGCTACCCGGCGGACTCGGTATCTTTAAAAGCGAACCCATCTGTTGAAATACATGCTGATTAATTCGTAAAACATAATAAATTTGTACTTCAGATAAAATATCCTATATATGAAACGAAAATTTAATATCTTTAATAAGTGTTTAGAAAATATACCCACATCAAATCTAAAATACCGCTAAAACTCTGTCAGGAAGAAATGTCGGAGATAAGCAATATTTTCCTGTCATACTAAAGTCGCATCATTGCTATCACATTTACGTTGATACGTATCCTTGGAAGCGAAAGCGGAATTTTAAATTTGAGATTTTCTTTTCAAAGAGACGGATCTTTGAAATGAATTTTCTGAAACCGAAAGCCGTGTAATAAAGAAACTTGAGGAAAAAGGACAGTCTCTATCATGTTCTATTGGAAGGAAACGCAAAGTTTCACTCTGAAATAAATTGTTTTTGTCATAATTAATTTACTTTGTCATGTTATTACGAATCGGAATTTCAATTAAAATTTTGCCCACAATAATGTTTTACCTACATATTAAAACCGCTTGGCCCGCTCGTTTGTGAATAACGAATAATACTCAAACTACGAACGACGGACTGATTCATCTTTTTTATATTCATATGCATTGTTTTACAGAACATGTTTTTGTGTCACTGGAGACTTCAAATATAATTTTTATAAAATAGGATTCATCAGTACGTATTATTATTTACTATTCAATTCCATTCCATTATTCCAAATATTATATTTGTTCAATGATTTGCCTGTTAATTAATATAGTACTCACTGCAACATATTGCCAGCCTTTGTTGACTCTTACAAGAAGCGCTTGCTCTTGCAATACGTATGCTAATGTTCCTCGTGGAGTGTTTGTTCCCAACTAAATGAAAGAAAAAATTCACACTGTAATATTTTTTTGTGGAATAATAACGGTTACAATTGTTAAAAACGTTCTCATAATTGTTTCAATTCATGTTTTACTTCTGGTTATTAAAGTTGAGAGTTTTGTAGGCATATAAATAGTGTTATATAACCACTGACCCGTAATAATGATTCCGTTGACTTAAATAGTATAGTGCCGACCAGAGTCCTGCCATCTTCTTCATCATCGAAATCTGTATTTTCTCCGTCACTTTCTAGCGAATCTCGTATTCCAGGCTCTATAGATCGTCCACATTATTTAATTTACTTATTAAATTATGTGAGGTGTTTATAAATATAAAGTTAAATCTTTAATATTTGACATCTCTAGATCTAGTAGGTAAGGTAGACAAAAACAATTGAATTTAATGATGCTATCAAATGATATCGCTATTAAGTTTTATTCTATTTAATACAATTTGTACATTATTTATCATTGCAAATAAAGATATAAAATATGTTTAATAAATCTTAATAAGTAACGGAAGCAGAATACAAGATCTGTAGTGGTTTTGTTGTAGCTTAACTTGTACTTACCAAATTGTTCTTGGCGGTACTGCATCAAATTATTCAAGTTTCTCAGAATTTGTAGCGGATCTCGTGGTTTTCCTAAGTATCAATAAAATAGTTGAGTAGTTTTTTAACATCAAATAAAACAAATTTACGCTAAAAGTGAAAATTTGTTAACGAAAATAATAAATTAGTACGAGTTGTCACATACATATTGTAAATGCTATCAATTTAATTTAACCATTTCATTCTCCCACCTGTGCCAGGTTGAAGGCGATTAATCCCAGGGCTATCTGTCAAAGCGTCGATGGGAACGTTATTCGGGAAAACCGCAGGAGGCCCGGGCGGCCCGGGGGGACCTGGAGGGCCTGGAACCGGAATGTATTGCAAACTTGTGCTTGGGGTCCCTGGGGGCCCAGGTGGACCCCGCGGACCGTCTTTACCCGGAGGTCCAGAGGTCCCATCATAGCCGCGTTCACCTTTTTCACCTTTTACCTTCATCAAATAATTTAAACAGTTAATTTGTTTAACATTAATGTTACTCCTAGCTACATAAAATTTAAATACACCTTTTCGAGGTCGGCTGGTGATATACCGGAGTCTCCTTTTTCACCTTTCTGTCCCGGCGGGCCTGGTTGACCCGCTACACCCGGTGGACCCTATTAAATAAAAAATATAATAGGATTTATGATTTTCTATAATTGGCAAACATGTGATTCTCGTTAGAAGTTATACTTTAAGAAGCTTATACTTTAAGATTTATTGCATACCAAATCATAATATCTTCTTCATTGTGAATCATTTTAAAGTTTTCTACACTAATGTTTCTTAACAATAATAATATTATTTATATAAATCACCGTCCATCCTGGCAGGCCAATATCACCAGAAGGTCCATTAATTCCAGGGACTCCGGGGGGCCCAGGAAGTCCTGGTGGTCCCCTCGGGCCTGGAGCGCCGGGGTGACCCCGTTTCCCCCTAGGACCAGTCTCACCCTTTTCACCCTGATGTGGAAAAGCATATAGTTATACTTGTATTTACTGTATTGTAAATATTACAAAGTATTCTTCTTATTAATACCTTGGTCATGATCAAAGCTTCTTCTCTTGAAATTGCTACAGGTCCAGGTGGACCGGGATCTCCTTTATCTCCCTTGGGACCAATTGGACCCAGTACTCCTTGAGGTCCAGGGAGACCCGATGGTCCAATATCCCCTCTTTCACCAGGCCTTCCATCAGTGCCTGGAAAACCTTGTGGGCCCTCCATACCTCTGCTACCTTTTTCACCCTATTGTTAGAATAATTCAAAGTATTGGTAATAAGATAATTGGTAATCAGATAATAATTAACAGTCTTTAGAATAAAGATTATTTATCACTGATTAGAGCATAAAAATTCACAGGAAAATTCTTTTATTTTAGCCATTAACAGTAAAAGTATTTTTTTCTCTGGTATACATTTAGTTTATTTCTTACTTTCTGTTTTTTGAACTAGTCATAGTGATCCGTTTTAATCCTCTTCTACTCAGGAAATTGAAATACCCAACAAATAGTTAACGAACAAGAATCTTAAAAGAAAAAACCATCCGACTACAGTCCAGTAACAGTAATTACCTTTTCGCCCCTTTCTCCTCTTTCGCCTTTCAACTTCATGACGTCACGAGATCCTGAGAACGTAGTTAAGTGTTGTTTACATTATGGAAAAGTCATAAAACAAAGAGCTATAAGATGGTAGGGGTGAAAAGGCAATATATGTTTGTTAAAATGAGATGTGGTGCGTGAGTCGCGACCGAAGTTTAATGCGTATGAATATTTAACAAAGTTATGAATAATAATTAATCAAGATGGTGAAGTTTGTAGAAATATGTGCCTGTGGCATGTATCTGACGTCTTGAGCAATATATTTCGATATTATGTTTTGTAACCATACATGACAGGCGTTATTTGTATTTGGAGTTATTTATTTTAACCTATAAATCATTGATTTCATCTGTTTATGAAGGCATAATACATTATAAGTACGAGTACGAGAGAAATTTATTAAAACTTGAATAGTGAAGTATCTCAATAAGAAATTAAAACTCCTTGTTTTATTAAATTATTTTACTTAAATTTTTACGACCAAATTATATACTGTGAAAACTTATAACGAATAATACGATTAAGCATGTAAATATAATGATCATTAAGTAGAGAAAATATAAAAATAATTTATTTTTCAGTATACTTGTGGCTATAATTGGTGAGGAGTTGAGAACAAAGCATAACTCACGTATTAATAATTCATGAATCTTGACCCCGATTCCAAAGTTAACAGAAATTTCGACCAAATTTTATTATGTATGAAGTAGTGTTTAGTTTGAGTATATCTATTTGATAAGGAAAATAGTGAACTTTGGAAATTGCTTTGAACTTTACAATCTTGTTAACGAAACAATAGATTTGAGGAGTAGGTTTTGTATTTAATTTTTATTATTCCGTACTTATATGTAACGGCAACATTAAGCAATTAGAAATACATTTTTCACTAAAAATAAAACAATGAAAGGTTTTATTTGTAGAAGTGTTTATCGCTACCAATATAATATGTTATTAATAACTTGATAGTTGGTGAAATGATAAATAAAAACAAGGTGAGGATAACAATAAGCTTAATGAAGGTATATAAAATTGTAAACAAACAATTTGTTTAATATTAAAAATTATACCATCTACTGTATTTATGGAATTATTAATGTGAATCGGAATAATATAAATTATATTTCCGTATGTATTTTATTACCTGGAAGAGCAATTTCACTTAATACAGAATTTTCAGAAATGCCGACTACTGAAGGTCCGGGTAAACCAGGAAGTCCGCGAGCACCTTTATAAAAAGTACGATTAAAGATTATAACAGTATTATTATCAGAATATAAGCATAATGGTATATAAAGGAATTAATATTCACAATTTCAATCATAAAATATTTCGCAAGTACCTCGTTATATCAATTTGGTGTGAAATATATTTGAAATTATATTAGAAAGATCATCATTACTTTATTTGAAACACTATCGAATAGTTGATATTTTATTTCGGTATCTTATTCTTCTAACTATATATACAATACAATCTTTTTATAAATCACAGAATCCTAAATTTCCTTCAAAATATGATGTTATAAAAATATTTTTTTATGGATGTACCCTTTTCACCCTTTTCCGCTGGGCGTCCATGAGCGCCGGGCAAACCAGGTGTGCCATCTTTCCCTGGCACCCCTCTTTCCCCTTTCGCACCATGTGGCCCTCGCAAACCCACGTACCCCTGTAACATACTATAGGCTCAAACAAACTACGTTACAAGGGTCGGACTAAGTTATTTTATTACTAAGTATATTTTTCGCATCGCTAGTTAGCTTTTCTGATTTCGAATATTGGTTAAAGAAAAAATCTTTTATTTAACAAACCGTTATTAATCGGTTTATCAATTTCATAGTTTGCTTAATCTATAAAATATCCAATATTTATAAAATATATTTTTTATATCACATATTATTAAAATGTGTTTTGTAAATACATATATACTGAACTCGATTATAACTCCTACAACTTTATTTTTAAATATTACAGAGGAGTAATTAATTAATCCTGTAATTTGATAAGCATATTAATAAGTATAAATTTTATTTTTCACCAATATTATTGAAGTAAAATAATTACATCTTTAAATCAACTAATACTATTATTTGGTATGTGAATATAACTCGAGATAAAGACTCAATAGAAAAGTTATTAGGGTCTAATAATAATTAATTAACGATTATTATCACTTAACTTATTGCTCTTAATGTATAGTATAAAGTATCATAACTTCTTTTTTTGAAGAAGAAAATACAAAAACAATAAAAAATGAGCAATATTCTATGTAAAATATTACTGAATAATAAATATCTTGTGAAATATATTTGATTCATAGCTTATTTTCTATTTGTTAAAAAAAATAAGCAAATTCCCCAAACCATCTCTACACTCACATTTATAATATAATTTATTTATACAGTTATAGGATTCCAAGCAAAACAGAATAAACAAATCATCAGCGAATTGAGCTGAGAAAGATAATTCAACTTACCCGTTCACCTTTATCGCCTTTAGCCCCATGTAATCCTTTTTCGCCTTTATTCCCCGCGTAACCCCTTTCTCCTTGGGGTCCGGGTAGACCCATTGGGCCTCGTTCGCCGGGAGGTCCCGTAACTCCACGATCCCCAGCTACGTATAATCCTGTTGATTCCTATGATAGAATTTTTACCTCCAGTTATAAAATATTTTAAAGATTATACAATTTTGTAGAGATATAATTGCTATTTATAATTTATGATTTTACAAATACTTGAGATAGTCCATATGACCTATAAATTTTGACGATCTCCAAGACTACATTATAACTTTTTAACAAAGTCAAAGGCTAAGTTGAGTGAACATCTTCTTACCTTTTTCGCCGACCACACTTATGTTCAAAGACTAGAGGCAACTCATTTTTGCATGACTAATTCTTTTATAAAATGAAGCTATAAATTACAGTATACCAGAAAAATCTTCCTCAAATATTTTGATTTTTTAATATATTGAGCCTTCTACATTCATTGAAGGAATAAATAGGTAGCATAGATTTAAAGACGTATTTAAAAGGTCTTGACTTGCTAAAATGTATAAGTCATACAGAGACGAAAAAAAGCTTATAAACCTGTCTCATGGTTTCTTGATAAATATGTAATTAAAACAAATTTTTCTTATACTTATTCTTCTTTATATAATTCGTTATACTTATATTATTGAGAATAAAGTAATATACTTTTGATATTCGACTAGGCCAGTCACGATTATCAAAAGTATATTACTCATCACTGCTTTTATTTAATTTTTTAAACCAGATACATTCGAACCATTTGGAGGGTATTCAAATCTGTAATTGTATATAATTAACATTTTACGAATGCTTTATAAATATTCTCCATATTAAAGATAAAATAACTTTTAGTAAATTTCTTATAATACTGATGTATATATATTATCCAATAAATTGACTATGGGCCACAGAGTAAATCAGACGTGTTACTTTATGTCATATACTCGTAAGTTATAAAATTTGATAGCCAAGAAAGGATATTAATAACAATCTGTCTTTGAATATTACCATCAATGGCGATGAAGGCAATCCGGGAGGACCCGGAGGTCCTGGCGGTCCTTGAAGACCTGGTGTACCATCAGCGCCAGGCTCCCCTTTAGGCCCTGGCTGGCCCTCTATACCAGTAGGACCTATATCACCCCTCTCTCCACGATCACCTTTTACACCTTGAGGCCCAGGCGCTCCTGTTTCTCCTATTTGTCCCTATATATTTTTGTGTAAATTAATATGTTATAATAAATAGTATTTGTACATTTTAGAATATACTTACAGTTTTTCCTGGGGCCCCTGTCATACCATCGGCACCAGTCGGCCCTGGAGGTCCAGGTGGTCCAACTAAACCAGGTATCACTTCCATCATTCGAAATATATCATTTACCGTACATTGACATTGACTCGATAGTGTTACCTTTAAAAAAACGAGTATTATATATTTTTTAGTACAAGTTTTAATTGCTTTTTAAATGTTTGGTACAATAAATGGATTTTTAATATAAACTAAAAAATAATAAATTTTAAGATAGCAAAGTAAATATAAAAGAAAAACGACCATTTTAATTTAGATGATATCACTTTCTAACATTATATTTAACATAATGAATCCGGAAATGTAAGACAATATAGGCCCAAACTTACACGTTTGTCTGTCCGGTCCATCCCGGACGGGCCTATTCCTCTCGACCCCTAACAAGACAAAACCATTTTAAGGGGAACGTTATTATCTTATCTATTATGCAATCTGGGTGAGCTCGGATTAAATGTGCTTTGTATCTCTTGTGATAATTTATTTAGGTTGTGAGAGTATAAATTGTGCCGCTGAAATTTATATTTAAATTTCACAATGTTTCATTTTGTATTATTAAACATTATCATCAACGATAAATTATAAAAAAAAGCAGAGGAAACTACTAGAAATATAATAAAAAACATATACGTTTTTACTTACATTTTCGTATTTATTTCCTTTCTGAGAATCTGAAAATAAAAAACATTAACAGTTTTACAAAAGTATATAGATGCAAAAATTAAATAAAAAAAAATTAAATCTAGAATTAGAATTTATTCTTAATAATAAACATTTTACATACATAAAGAACGTCTTTGCAAATTCTGGTTTTATTTTAATTGGATAAATTGGTGCCATTACAGCTGACATTAATGCAAAGAAAATCCCATTTTTCTATTTATAAAACATGTTGAAGTAATTCTGAATCAATCTCAGCAGGTCACCATATTTATTCTGCGCTCTAGGTTTTGCCTACAGTTTACTACGTTGATTACAGTTTTGCAATTAAAAGTAACAACTAACTTTTTCATAAAAATGCAAGATAAAAAAGTCTCTCGTTCAAAATAGTATAGTTTTTTACATTCATGTTTATTGTGGTCTTGTAAGTATTTTTTATAAGGTAACTGATGTTTTCTTTTATGGACGTAATAATAATAAATATAAAATAAAAAACTGTCAAATATTTAATTTCTATTAAAATAATCTCGATGTTGTATTACTGTTGTCGTATTTTATAATGTCTTGATATTATAATACTAATAAGTTTTGACTTCTCATTTGATTAAATTTACATGAATAAATTTGGTAAGTTAATTTTATTGACAGTTCGCTATATAACAAAAAATATAAAAATATTTCTTGAAAATCTCATATAAAAATATATACATATATCTTGCCTTATCATATACAGTTCAGTAAACACGTGGTCCAAAACATACTCGTTTTAAGATTGTTTACTCTAACATAATTCCAGTCGCATCTTTAAAGATAAAACTTTACTCTTATTATAAACTGAGATTTGAATCTTTATACGTAAGTTTGTATATTCTTCTTACCTTCAACATTACGGATCATATATTATATACTTAAAATAGAATCTTTTTAGAACAAGGTTTTTACGAAATGTATTTTGCTTTTATGTTTATATGATGGATATACAAAACTTCTTAGCTTATAGTTTTCTCTTTAAAACCTGCATTAATTTATTCAAAAACAGATACATGGGATATATATAAAAGATCTATAAAATTATAAGAATTTAGGACGGAAACATTTAAAAAAGTGTGGAAGAAATTTTCACACAATATAATTTTTACATTTCAAATATTTGATATAAAAGGTTTTTCATATGAACAAAATAATAAATGAAATGTTATGTTAATATATGATTTTCAAAGTGTCTAAAATTATGATATTAAAATTTTAAAGTTAGTACACAACTAAAAATGAAAACTCAATTTCTAAAAGTTTTAAAAATATTGTTTTTGCACGATGTCGTCGTAACTTTTTAATTACTTTAATTCTAATTAAAAAGACTTACATGAGGATGTATGTAAAATAACTGGTAATCTGTTTTCGTCTGGGTTCACCTGAAAAAAAAAACACGATTTTAATTTTTTCATTGTACTGTAAACAGTAATATATTAAAATTAAGATTGATATTCCATAATTTAAAATATCAATTACTGAAACTTAATAATATTGAGCATTAAATAAAATTCAGTTATATGTTAAGTTCAGTACTTTAAATAATTAAATTTTGGTTACAGCACTTTATATACTGTAACGTTTTAATAAATAATAAACATTTTAAATTTGCTTTAAATATATAGTAAAACTGCTGAAATTCCTAATTAATTAGAAATATTTTTGTGTCAAGAAAAGAACATGTAACCTTAACTAACTAAAAAATATTTATAATTATAATTAATTATTTAAAAAAATATATAAAAAAGTTATAAGTAATATATGATCCGATGAATCGACTCAATATTTATTATTATCAATCAAATTATTTGAATTCGTAAAAGCTGTTTACATCTTTAGATCTTAACTTTGGATAACTTGAATAATTTGAAACTTCATTATTTACTGTTTGACACAAAGTAAATATAATCTGAAATGAAATAGTAAAATTTAACAAAAACTTACATCTACATTTAAATGTAATATTTCAAACCTGACTTCAATTTTATTAATCCTAAAGGTGATATTAATATTTAAGGTATAATGAATAGTTTAACTTGTCACGCCTTTGTAACTCATATATCCGTAAAGTTTCCGATTGACCGTGCATTAATATTATTCAAAATTAATAAAATATATTATAAATCATGTCCTATTGTCGTCCTATCATCGAATTATCGTGGACATTGACCCATTTAATGGCGGGTTTTCGTGCCATGACATAGTAAATTTTAATGCTGTGATTCTTTTTATGACTAAAGATAATTTCGAAGAAATTTGTTATTGATTATTTAAGTAGTAATAATGATATATTGTGAACTATTGGTTTTTTATGTTTAACAAGAAACCATTGATTACTATCCGTATTTTAGTTGTATAACTAATTATATGATAGTGACCTACTTTTTGACAATAATTTTCTAGTAAAACTTCATGGATATACTTCATATATTATATGTATATTCGAAATTAATTTACCACATGTTAAACATTTATTGAATAAAAACCTCATAAAGTAAAGAGAAAATATTTGAGATAACAACTATTATGTTGCTTTAAGAAATTAAAATTACTTAAATCAACATAATAGTACACAACAACAAAAAAGTAATTTATGATATTGAAAACATTTTGACGCAGCAGGTACCTGATTTAAATGTTTTTCAAAAGATAATGTCTCACAAGGGATAGAAATATATGACGACCGCTCGCTATATAAAATTTATAGGATGATCTACAGAAACAGAACCAAGAAACAAGACATTTATAAAAAGATTCTTTATCCATATGCTAATGCTTATGTTAGCTTTTTTTGTAATGGAATATTAATAAGAGCCATTAACATCATTTATGATATAAAGTAGCCGAAATTTTACGGTTTAAAACCATTTCTGTATCCGTATTTGTGGTTGATTAATGAAAGAAGACATATTATAAAGCAAAAAACTCTTCAAAGCACGTCACGAGCAGACTTTTCCAAACTTTGTTTGCTTTTGTTATAAATAATTCATAGAAGGTTCCGTCGGTCGATAGGGAAACAATTGAAATTCGTATGCCTCTCTCCTTTATGTTACCTTCGGTAGATATACATAAACAAATGTAAAAAAATGTTTTCGATTCTTCTACCCGTCTGTATAGGTGAACGAGGTAATTTTTTTCAATTTGCACGGTGTTAATAAAAAAGTTGGAGGTTTCATAGAACTTTTCATGTGTAATCATTAAAAGTACTTTTCAAAATACAATTGAGGTTGTTTTGATAATTGACGGATTAGTTTTTGTTACACATATAACGAAGTCCACATTAAACTTAATTACATGTATTACTTGTATTTTTTGTTTCCATGTAAGTGACTTTGTGTCTTTTTTAGAAAATAAAGATCTCTAAACCTAAACCTAAATGTCCACTTATCAATACTTTGCGATGATATGAATATATTTTTTTTTAATTTATACCTTTCTAGCAAAAATTCTTTAATTTAAATCATTTTTAAATAAATATCTACGACTAAGGATACAGGCTTGGCTAATTAAATATTTTATCGCTTTATACTAGGGAATAGTTACATATGTAAAATATAAAGAAACTTATTAGAATTTTTCTTCTATTATAATAAGGTTGTATTTTTAAAGTCCTTTGGGTTATAACGTAGGCCACTTGAAGAGAAGTTTTGGTCTCTCGAGGATACCTAAGGAACAATAATAAATAGCTTTGAAACTCAGTATCTCCGAATTTCAACCAAATATTCAGAATTTCGAGACGATGTTGTAACAAGTCCAAAAATAAGGGTCAGCTTTAACTTTGGTCTCACGAGGACAAATCGTTATTAAAATACAGTTGAAATTCTATACCCTTAAACCAGTAATAATGTATTTTTATTAATGTATTTTATCTGCTTTTCCATAATCCATATTTTAGTAATTCGTGAGTATTTTAGAACACAGTTTAAAGAAATAATAAAAAAATAATATAATTTGTCACACAAGATTAGAAACGATAAAATATTTTACGATATTTTTGAAAAGAAAGAAAATTAATAGGAAAGTAGTAACAACAATAAAATGTGTCATTCTTTGTTTACATGAATATCAAAATGCTAATGATTTTTATCACGCATGCAATATCTCCCCATAATTGGCGATATTTAAAATATTTAATATACATTGAAAGAATTTTGATTAGCTGTAGATTATGTATTTTGAAAGGGTAATTGTAAAAGAAGGTTTTTGCTATGTTATAAATAAATTTGTTCTGTATTTGAAGTCCAGCCCTCGTTTTACTAGAATAATCTATCCTGAAGAACCGTTGCTATTGATTTAACTAGCTCTTTAAAAAGGTATTACATTTTGATAATTAATTGTACTTCTAACTGCATGGAAATTTTCGAGATGGCTCGCACTAATTCTACAAATGTCAAAACAAAATAGAGAGGTATAGTCCGTTAGACTTAAGCTGAGCTTTGCATTTGTGTGCGTGAAAGTAAAAGTAGATTTAGACAAAAAACTTTACAATTAAATTTTATTATATTTTAAATAGATACATAACATAAGTGCTAGATCTATTCTAGATTAAAAATAAAGTAATCAAAACTTGTAAAAGGCCAAATGGAAATATTATGGAAAAATATATTAAGTAATCAAAATTTTGAAAAAACAATACAATTTTTTCTTCACTTGACATTACGTTTTCAACATTAATTGACGTTGCTACCAGTACAAGGAGTGAAGTGCGGAAGGTGCGGGGAGTAGTAAAAGCAGAAAAAAAAACGGTTCAAATCGAGAAAAGAACGTTGCATTCAAAAATTTGCCATCACACCTACATTATCCGTGTGCACTCACACAAATGCAAAGCTAAGCTTAAATCAAACGCACTATACTTTCGTAAGATTCGGTTTTCCGATTAGTATTTTGTCAAGTCCAGACAGCAGGAATTTAGAATATTGAATAACCGCATAAAAAAACTTATCTCATTATCAAACAGAATAGAAGCAAACATAGTTAAGCCTTAAAAACGTTTTCTACTGCTAAATTACAAGCAGGAATCGAAAGAAACCTGCAGGAATTAAGTAAATGTAGATGCGGCTTCACAAACTTTCCTACTAGTATACCGCAATATTGTACAAAGTCCGAGCAGTGAAACCCCAACCATGCTGTTGCATAGGCTATATTTATTATAGAGGCTAGATTTGTTATGAAATGACCGACACACCGACGGAAGAGCAAAAGAAGTTCAGGGGCATTAGGAATACGAGGGTGGAACTTGTCGCAATATTCTAAAAACGGATGCATTTAAAGTATCAGAATCTAGTTTTCGGTATAAATTTGTAAAAGGTACTGTTTCGTGCATAGACAGTTTGATTAGATCTCCAGTTTGGTAAACAGGCGCCAATTGTATAAAAGGCTTACGAGATCAAATACATCGCAGATCTCGTTTTTCTGACGTTACCTGCCCAGAAGGCTAATAAAGTTGTTTTGAGCCTTTAATAGGGAAAAAAGGATGACTTCCCTCACAATGCAGGTATATTCGGACAAAGAGATCGGAAACAGTATAATCAGGTTGATTATGGAGATGTTCCTTCTGAACAATCAGTTGCATTAACAGAATTACTATCACCACCAATGAAATCAGTCGAAAGCGCTTTGAAACGTGCTTGGAAACCTGTAGAGAGTTAGAGTGCTATAGCTTATAAAGAATAATTATTGAACATAGTTAATATGAATTTCCAGTTACTAAAATTTTTAGTTGTCATTATATTACATCTCATCGATTTTTTTTTATTGAAGTAGATATCGTTATTTAGGTTGTCTCTAGACTTAAAGCGTAATGAAATATTAGCAGTAAAGGTTTAATGTATGTAATATGTACTTTCTTTAATTTACTTTTCTAACCGTCCACACAACTTCTGTGAATATACGCCGTACATTGCAGTCGTATCTGGTAGTTGGTGTTTGTAATGTTAGTTTTGCTTTAAAGTTTTCCATGTTTAGGCGGCAATACCGGCGGCAATACACTTGAACAATAAAAACATAACATTCTCTGTTTGAAAAATAGATTATTTTGACAATAAATTGTTAATTTTGTCCGTTTTACTGTACATGTTTTAATTTGAAAAAAACCCGTGTGTATTGTATGACGTTCTTGTCGGTTTTGTTTTATTTTGGACATGACTTCTCTTTATGCTTTTCAATAATCATTTTAATTCGTAACTCTTTCATATTTAATATATATCTACGAAGTAAGCTAAAGTTCAGATAAAAAAGTGATATTTTCTATATTTAAAAATTTTTGTTCAAGCAGAAACAAATTGTATCTGATTTTATGTCCATGTTTAGTTTACCTTTAACTAATTGTTGTTTCATTATTTATATGGGATTAATATGAGTAAAGCTTTTATTCATTTATAATGAAAGATAATTTGTTAGAACATTTGTGAAGTCAAAGGAAATTAATAACATCACAAATGATGTTATTAGTTTCTAGTAAATAGAAGGCAGTGGAAACTATGGCAGTATAATTATGCTTTAACGGACATTCGGAATTCAAGGAGATTTAATTACATATACCAAATGTATGTAACGGAATATGTTTATTTAAATAGTATTTTACTTAATAGTTATTGTCAATTCATATTCGACAATATTAGTAGTAAAGTGTTAAAAATGTGGATTTATTGATATTAAGAGTAATGAGATATCAATTTCATTTGATATATTTTTTAAAACCATGTCGTAGTAAGCAAGAAAAATATCAAAAATAAAATTCTATTTAAATATTCGGATACTATGTATATTACTAGTTTTCAAAAGGTACATTACTTGTAATTTTGTAATGACTACCTGTGTAATTATACAAAAGAGTGAAACATTTACTAAATATGTATTGACATGAAGATTTCTATGTAGATAATTTTAATATTTATTAATATAGATCTCAATTATTTAATTCCTTAGCTCAGAGCACCCACAGCCAAGTAAATAATTACGGAGGCGAAGTCCTCTCAAAGTAACATGAATCACCAATCAACAGTTTCGGAATTCCGTCACTGTTATGTCATATTAAGTTCTAGGAGCAGTTCAAATTAGTACAAACTTTAGTTTTGACCAAATTGTTCGATCACTTATTAGATTATATATTATGTATTATAATTTATTAGTTACGAAATGATAAACTAATCCTTTTGTAAGATTTTGGTCAAATTTCAACATAATATGTGACTTGAGACCTTTACAAGAGAAACAATAAAACTCTTACGTTATAGCTTCTTTCTTTTAAGTTAATATTTTAGTTCAATGATACTGTTTTGTATACGTTTTACGTACCTATTTTATCCTTTGTATAACTTTTTATAAATTGTTGACAAATTATTTTTCTATTTAAAAATAGATATCAAGTTAAGGAATAAGTAATTGTAAACATAGAGCAATGCCGCTTGATCTTTGACATGTAGGCTCAAATTGGGGTAGGATTACTCGCATCCACTAGATTTGCCATAATCAATCCTGAAACCACTGGCAATTGCGTCATGAATTCAAACCCAAAGCTTCAGTTAAACCAATTTTGGTTTCCGTTATTTTCCTATAGAATAATTTCCCTTAATATTGTAATATTTGGTTCTATTGATTTCAATAATAACAGTCATATTAGGAAATTAGATTTACACATTGCAGGTTTTAAATATGGCAAATTATTTCGACACCCAAAAGTGTAACATATGAAATTTAACTACAGATTGTATAGGTATCAACGATTTGTTTCGTGAATATTTATGTAATAGGTAATTAATTAGAAATAAAAATATAAAGAGTTGGAAAAAATAAACAACCATACTAAATGAATAATGAATATTTATCTACCTTATAATTTTTATATGTCTTAGCTAGCATGATTTGCGTTTAGTAGAATATAAAATTAAAACACCTTATTTCTATTTTTATTAACATACAAAAGAAATGAAATCATCAAAAAAGTTTTATAAAGAATGTTATCTTATCTCAAAACAGATCATAATAAATATTCAGATTTACATTGAAAATAAACTTATTCAAGAAACAAGTTAGGCAAGTCATAAAATTTTCCAGGTCAAAAGCTGTTTAAGACGTTTAATTTTTTAATTTCTAAGGCATTTGGTTTCGCTGCACTAATTTGAGTACGTATTTCGGCATATTATAGTTGATAAATAGTTTTCCGCATAATTATAAGGTGTCCTCTTTTTATTAATTTTTTTAACAAAAAAGGGTAAGTGGTAATTTTTGACATAAAATATATAGATAGAGCGAATTTATGTCTTGAATTCACAGCATAACATCTGAAAAGATTTATAGCTGTAATTTTAAATATTTCTTAAAATCTTTTTAATAGAATATTCCTGCTGTAAATTCAACTATAAAAACACCATTTGATGTTTAATGTGTAATAAAAAGTGTTTATTTACATTTTCAAGCTTCATTTACAAACACAATAAACGTTTATAATGAGTGAAAAAATTGTTTTGAATGGAAATCGTATTACTGCTTTTATATAATTGGTTGAGCTTATTGTTATTATTTGATTATATTTGCTGCTAATAATCCATCGCAAATATCTTTGATCTATTTACAAGTATGGTTGCGATGGTAATATTTGTTATTTAGTTATTGTGTATAAAGTTGTTCTTTCGACGGTTTAATATCTATAAACATGTTAAATAGTAACAGAAATAAAATTTATATCAATATATTATGAAGTGTAAAATATGTATATCAAATACCCTTTTTCCATAAACTACATTTCTTAAAGTGTCAACAATGCTAATAAACTAATTCAAGTTTTGCTTTTAAAGTGTGGAAATGAGGTCAGGAGGAAGTTTTATAGAAACTACGTAGCATCTGAGTAAGATTAAAATATTCGATTTTCCTAACAGAAAATAATATATTTTCTCTTTATAACTATCAAGAATTCTATTTCTAATTGAAGTGATCCTATATTAAATTTATCTTATTAATATTCATCTTGAGCAATCTACTAAATAGAGAAACATTAGAAATGATTGAAGTTTGAATTGAACAATTATTCCAATTTATGGTTATAATTTGATAAATTATTATTCAAAAATTAGTTTGTATATATTAAGTCTTAAAGGATTAGAACATAGTTTCAGAATATAACTTGATTTTGTAATAAAACATAAAGTACTTTCTTATATAGCTGTATGATATAGATATGAAAATTTTCGTATATTTTTATATATCAATTATATTGGAGTCAAAATAAAACAATATTTGCAATATTAATTTTAAATAAAGTTGTCATTTGGGTTAATAATATTTCCTATACTATTTGCTTAAAAAATAAAACTATGTAAAATCAAATCTTTAACAAATGAGATGCATTATTTCACAAACCAATAATTCTCTCTTTACTATCCTTCATTTAAATATCTAAAAATTTCAGTAAAAAATTCAGATAAGAAATCAAGGCTCTTGTTATGAGAATCATATTAGAAGAACACTCCTTTTAAGTTTGCAAAATTTGATGTAGGGCTTTGATTAAATTTGGCACTTGAAAAGGTTTTTAATATATTCTTATATTTAAAAAAAAATATTTCCTTCAATTGCCTTTTATTGTTAAGCTATCTTACCTTGTTATTATTAATACTTATTTTTAATATTCTAATTAGATATAATTTCTTTGGCAGTAAGATTCTTTACTATGAAAAAAAGTATATAATTAATATATAAATATACCTATTTTAATTGATTTAAAAGACAGTTACTGTAACCGCTACTAATAATTGCAATCTTTTAACTTGTAAATATAAAAAATATGTCTAATATGAATACTTACAGCTCTATGAGTGACAAACGATGTCCGGCCCTGAAGTCTTGCACTGATCTTTGCGGGTGTATCTTCATCTTCTCGTTTGGGATCAAACCATCCAAAAGCCACGCCAACAACCAGAACAGCTCCTAATATCATCAGAGCCAAACATCCAGCTATAGCTGCTTTAGTCGTTTGTGATATCACCATCGCCATTTTGTCTATCACTTATCGCCTTTTTAACATTATTTATCACATCAACACACGCGTATTAAAACACTTCCAACGCTTATATTGCCTTTTTAACGTTATTAATGTGATTAACCACTTTTATGCACGCGATGAAAATAACCAAGTCCTCATATTTTTAATTTCCACTCCCCATAAATTTCGCTTCTCACATATTAATTTTTATATTCACATTACTTGTATTTAATCCTTGACTTATCATGAAAGAACAAATTAGATCGTGAAATTTGAATCATTTAATTTAAAATATAATATGTACATATATTTTATAACCATAATATATTGATAATAGCTTGTATCAATTTCGAAATTTCAATGGAATTATATGTTATCGTCTTAAATATATTTTAGTTAGCAGATAATTTAGTTTTGCATTCAGAAGCCCCTGTCTGACCTCTACAATTCAGTAGAGGGCAAACTAACATCTACTGCCATTACAGAGTTATTAGTTTGAAGTTTAATGTTTGGATTTGAATAACTGTATAATAGTTTGCATTTCAGTGAACAAAATTCAGTTCGTATTAAAACTGATTACCTTAATTAACATCGATAAGATTTTCATATAAAGACAGTTATCAATACTATATAAATCATGGAATTTATAAGTAACAAAAATCTCCTTTCAAAACGTTAGAATTATATTCATAAGTGGAGTGTATGTTATGTTCACATCGGAAGGATGGAATCACAGTTGACATCTATAGAATGCATAGGAAAGGAAACTCGATAACCCAGATGTCGTGGCAGATGACAAAGCCGTTGCATACATTAAATGGCAATATAAATATTTCTCTATTACTTCTGTGTAACATGTTCATATTTAATGTTATGACATGATATAGTTATTGAAATTTTTAATAACATATCTGATGTAGCACTTTATTTTTTTTAACTTTTTTTTTATCTTGTCAAAATAAAAAGCCATATATTTATTTTATGTATTTTACTCATATATTTTACAAAAAATATTAGTTTTATTTTGAAAATTCAACTATTTCTTTAAATGATGAAGTTGATTGTATCGCTTTTATTAGAATTATTTAGAAAGCCCTATGCCTTTAATAGTTATGTAGTTAACGTTTTTTAATGACTTTTTCATGACTATATATTAAACAAAAATAAATGTATCATTACAAAGTGATTTGAATCGTTTACTTAGCTTACAACATGTTATATAGTAACTAAGTGTGACACAATAATATCATATTAAATATATGTTCTCTTCGGGTGGCGACGAGTCCATGTATTGGACGTAATATAAATATAATATTTATATCACGTTTCCTTTCCTACATGTTATTTGTGTAGTTAATTATTTACGTATTAAACATATACAATTATAATAACACACATCTAATAGTGTATTTATTCTTCCTTTTCGTTGTACTATATTATGGTAGAACAGTTAAATGAACCTTAATCTTTCTGTCAATGCCAATCGGTAACCTATTTCAAGGCGACTTTACGATATTTTTTGATTGTGTTGAACAATAGGCCTGTTTGTGAGACAGCCTGACATACCGGATCTAAAATAAAAGCCAGATGTCAATATCGGAGACACAGGACATTGTACAACTTTAATAAAATAACAGAATAAATTTATGTATTTGCTTATGAATAAGGAATTTAATTTTTGAAATCACTTCATTTTTGCAATACGCAATAAAGTGTTATAATCAACATGACTACACAAATAAAGGTTAAGAAATAAGATGATCCGCGTAAAAGTTAGAAAATATATATTTTATATTAAAAGATATTTTTATAAAACTAGTTAACTTAAAAAATGCATAAATTTATAATCAATAGAGGCTTAAGTTAAATCTATATATTTGTTTTCTATATTTCAATTTGGTAGTAAAATAATATATTTAATGTAATGTCTTGGTAAATTTTCTTTTTTTTTTCTGGCAATGGTAAGGACAACAAAAGGAAAATATATTGTATATATATATATCTATATATATATATATATATATATATATATCGATGCAAAATCCAAAGTGAAATTAAAATTTAAAAAAATATTTAAATATAATTAAACAGCTTCCTAGTAACTTACCTATAATAATAAATCGATGCAAATATAAATTCAAATAAAAAAAATATATATTTGAATAGAATTAATCAGCTTCCTAGTTCTTGTAACTCTTAAATTATCTTTATTTAATTGAATTAATACGTAAGCGCTACCAAATGGGAAACCTAAATAGCTTGTTAAAAATTATTGTTAAATTTAATCTTAAATCTGAAACATTTATATACATATTATATAACTACATTTATAGTCATTAACATCTTGACATATTTTTTTATGCAATAAACGACCTTAATGAGTATGCGAATACAACGTTTCTTTCATTTAAATAGATTTTAAACCAACATATTAGAATTAGAGTTCCACGAATTGCGTGTTCGTAATAATTAAATTTAAATTGGAACATTTTTATAAATTTAAATAATTTATAATCAAATGAAGCGAATACATTTTTTTTTTAAAATCACTCATTCTATTACACTTCTTTTGAGAATTGCCGATATTCTATACAAAAAAAAAACCTTAAATTAGGGTTATGTCTTATTAAATCTTTCATATGAACTGTATGTTAACTTGAGGATAGCCAAATTAGCGATAAAATCACCATTTGATATTACTTAATCAATAATAATCAGTAATTTACTGGATTTTTTGAAATAAAATATAAAAAAAATTGCAACAGATGTTAGAATATGAAAAATCTGAGCTAAGTCGTTAACCAAATTATTAATTTGGAAACTTTAACGATTTTATTAAAAAATATATTATGAGGTAAGAATATCTTGATGTCTCGCGAGCTGCAGACTCTAAATTTTGGCACAAATAATAATATTTTTTGAGAGATTCGTGTGAAGAATCGAACGACTGATCTATAGTATTAAATTATCTATACGGTAGACAAAGCTTCCCGTCGGAAGGGGGGAACAGAACTCAGCATCAATTGAATGAAAGAGCGCCTCAATAACCTAGATAGTATGAAAGCAGAATAAACATTACAAAGAGACATATATACGTTTGAAAACAATAGCAGATACTTTTTTATCATAAGTCCGTCACTCCAATATGAGGTTGTAATTGTAAAATTTTATAAGAAAAATATAAATAAATAAAATAAATATACATCAGCCAGAAGATATTATTGTTTACAATATTATATACGCACATAATGACAACGTCAAGTTACCAATAAAATATGAAACGAAGCCACAATTCCCCAAAGTAATAACCAAGCGTGTATGCTGAAGTACAGCTGTTGTTTGACCTGCCTTTATGATAGACAAGCCGTGTAAATATTATTCAAACCACATTATGTAACATGTCAATTTATATAAAAATGAGATTCAATAGTCCGTCTATATATTTGACGACTTTGAAATGTATTTTCGGTTAAGTGCTTCGGAATTTATAATTAATTGAATATGCCACAAAATGCCAAAAGGCACAAAATATGATATTATTTTGACATTTGTTAGTATATCACCTTACTTGAGAAAATTCGTTCCTTATTAAATTTTAAGGAGAAGGTGTATTTATCAAATTATTATTGAGCGATCGCTTTTATTAATTTAATTTAACTTTGTATACGTCATGCTTCTAAATAGATATTTTTTTCGTTACAGGGTTTAAAGCGCTATTTTTAAAGTTAAACTAATCAAAAACATTTCTTTGTTTTCTTTGGTTTATCGATTATGACATGGCATACAGGGAATAAAATATATTTTATTTAAATCTTAGATACCTTTGAATCATCATAAATATTCTTTTATTACCACAGTTTTTAATGCTAACAAAATAATTTGTATTAGTTGATAACTAAAAATTTGTCGTTCCTTAAATAAATAAGTAATTCTACTGTTGCTTATCCAACATATTCGTACAGGGCATTTCTGATTAGAAACCAATTTTATATAAAGAGTGGATGATGTAATTCTATACAACTAATAGTTCAGCTTTGGGCAAACATCGGCAAACGAAGGACGTCATCAAGGGAATATTCAGAAGGTGCCCTCATATGATGGTTGCAATCTTTTTCGATGTGGAAAAAGTGTTTAAAAATTTTCACAACGGCTTGAACTACAGGCTTTTCCTACTAAAGGTTAAAAAAAATCCTCAGAACATTATATGATCTGATTTATCGAATCGCTTTCTACACTTCCCTCGTCGTATAAAAAGACAGAGTCCCTCAATGTTCCTGCTTCCTTACTTCTATTTGCTATCCAGGAGCTATATCTCAATACCTAATATACTAATTCATCTATCTCTTTTCCACTCCGGTGTTCTCCACGGATTATGTCTGTGATACTATCCTACACATTGGTTTTTCTTCTGGATTGAATGACGGTTGCCTGATTTCGTGAAAGCAAAAGATCGAGATTCGGGGGAAAGTTCCAGTAGTAGTTGTAGCATATACTCGTCCCGATATCGAACAACGGATGAGAAGCTCAGTAATACTTTTATTCGGAAAGAAAATAATCCCCCATACTTATTACAAATTAACAGAATCATGCTAGAATGTGAAGGCCACGAAGGGTTATACTACTGTCATTCTTGATGTTGGACTCCTAAAAAAACACTTTTTTCATATTATGCGTTAAAATTAATATTAAAAAGGAGTCGTCTACCAGTCGAGAAATCAGTAAAATTTTCATTAAATATAAATACCACATTCCAAGACGTTTGAATATTCGGTTTTAACACATTAATAAGATGTTATTTAAATCTCTTAATGCATTATGCCCGTCAACTGTCCTTAAGTTGCAAATGTTTATGGATAACCGTAACCAATTTACAATACTGTATACATTCAAGTGAAATATGATTAAATTTTTAAATATTATTTCAGGTTAATTATTTTACTATGTATAGGTGTGTAAACAAATCAAAATCCATTTCTGTACAATGACTTAAGTTACGTAACAATGTACTTGTA